CCCCAAAACCCCAAAACCCCAAAACCCCAAAACCCCTTTTAGTATTAAAATAATTGAATATGGGAGTGAATTGAACATCATCGACGTTCGTCAAAGAAAGTAAAACCCTTCTCATCCATAGAACATCATAGCAACACAAAGGTTGTAATTGACTTAGAAAAGAACGTGGACATCCGATCAGTTCTACGACACCCCTCAATAAGGCACCAGAACTTGGCTGAGCTGAGACTAACTAATTTAAAACTCAACTTTATGGAATATATCATCCATGTTGGAAATAACCAACTTCTTCAGAGCTGACTCAAGCATAGATCAGATCCTCAGATTTCAGAGGTTTTTGATAGGTAAATCTTAATAATGGTTTAACCCATAGAGTCTATGATTACCATAAGTTATGTGAGACTGCTCTCCGTTGTGTTAACAAAGAAGCCTTAGAGATGCTGATAAGTTATCATGAGAATTATGACCTGAGAGTGAAGAATACTGAAGGAATTGCTCCTATTGAGGTTGCTATGTCTGATACAGATAAGGATAAGCTTAGAGCGGTCACAGCTGAGATGGGTTCGGCCAAAGGTTCTCTGTATAAGACTAGATCTGGATCGAAGTCTGACAAAAGTCAAGTTAATAAGAATAGTGAGGCAGGCTGGGAGAATGCTAAGATAAAACCAGTGCATATTTTACACTAACATTTTAGGAACCTACCCTTTCATTAAAGGATAAAGTCGCACCAACTCCAAATGAAGATGGTTCTTTTGAATCAGATGGTGAAGAATCAAAAATTCATCATCACCTTTCAAAGAACAAAGAGGATACCCCTCATAGCCATTCTTCATCTTTGAGGAATCTGGATGAGGAAGATAGAAAATCAGAGTTTATGGCACCAAAGAAAAAGTAAGATAAGTTAGAAATTCTAAGATACTTCATTCTTCTGTTAACATTAATTTATATGTGATTAATCATAACTTTTGCTTCTCATTCTATTAAAATCTTTAATAAAATCACTAGAAATAATTTGAAATAATACGAACGAATCAACTCTTCATTTTCTACGAATTTCATTAAAATTCTCTTTCCTTGGGTAATTAGTCATTTATACAACCTGGGCTCCAATTGTCTCCTCCACCATTGGACAGTAACCAGCCTCTAACCCTTGTACTAGCAATTACGTTGATAATCAAGACCTTGAAGAAGGAACCAGTAAGAACTTGATACTTGTAGAAGAGAATGGAGAAGGTACGTGTACAGTTACTGATTGAGTAGATATTACCATTGGTCATGATGATGCCCCTTTTGCTAGTTTGTCCATGGATGATGATGGCATTTAAGATTAATTTATGAAATTTCAATTTGTAGAAAAAGCTGGGGTTTTGGGGTTTTGGGGTTTTGGGGTTTTGGGG